GTAACTCTTGAAGATATCAAGTTACTTGAAGTTTATGATTGAGGGTTGTAATTATCCTAAGGGAAATCATTAATTCAAGAAAAAAAAACTGAATTATTGTGTCTAAGTTTTTAATATATGTTCAATTTAATTTGTTATTTGTTTTGTAAAACTTTCGTATATTTTGTAAACAGATTCGACTTGATACAGTACTTTATATTCAATATTGCTACTTTTCACGATACAATTAATTCGATCGATTTTTCCTGTAATTGAATTTAGAATTTAACTAGTTTCAAATGGTAAACAGTTAGATCTCTGTGCTGAAATAGTTTCAAGCCAAGAAATGTTAACAGCCATTTAACACTGCTTACATAAAATTATTACCTACATAATTTTTGAATTCATTTAGTTGTTCATTTTGCATTCACAAACAGTACTTGCTGACAACGCTTTGAGAAATTCAACTTCGATGAGTATACAATCTTATCAATACAATTTGGCTAATATGACAAATTACTTTTTTTCTGATGAATCTATATGATTAAGGATATTTTTCAACAAACCATATGGCATATACCAATTTTCTAAACAAACTAAACTACTATTAACACCATTTTATTGAACAAACTACAAATTGAAGCAAAACAATGTTATAATGTTTCAAATTCATACATTTATTTCCTCCACATAAATTAATTAAGGTTACTATCCATCTGTGGTCCTCACATAAAAAATGCAACGATACTGTATTTAAGTTACATACATTTATTTTTGACGGCATAAATTGGGGTTCCTACCCATCTGTGGCCCCCAAATTTTCGAATTCCTCTTCTAGTTGTTTCAACTCTCATCAGACTTCAATTTGGCAACAACAAAACCACAATTACAGCTTCAAGCCGTTGACCTGTCATGGTCAGTTCCAAACACAGACCTTCAACATTGTTTTGGGGATTTGTCGTATTATTATCAATTATTATTAGTCCAGGACCTGACTAGGGTTCTGTGTGCATGTCGTGTATAGAGAATTTTGCTTTTGCATTTCAATATAGGTGTCTTAGGAAGTGTTTTCCACTCGGGTGTCAAGTTCGCACCTGGTACGTTTTCGAGATATGACGTCATCAAAATGGCGGCCATTGATTTTTTTAAATCGTATATTTCGCAAACTATTTGTCGGATCGGAATGCATTTTTTTTTTGTTTGAAAGATAATTTTAAATGCTACCTGTTTTACATTTACACATTTGTTGTATGTTTAGTACATTCTTCGTAATTTTGCAAAAACCTGTATTTTTAAATATTTTTGAGTTATTTTTGTTTGTAATGTTTTATTGATACAATTTATCAAAAACCACCAATGAAAAAAGTTGTAGAACGTTTAAAAATCTTTACAAAAATACCAAATTCGATATGTTTTACTCAAAAGATTACGTCAAGAAACTAGATAAATCTCATAAAAACACCAATTTTGGCGCAAAAACGCCTATTAGTCCGGCATCTAGGACAGTTCGCAAGTCTTATAAAGACAGTTTCGCCATTCGATGTTGATGTATGTGTCTAAATAAGTGTTTTGAACTTGGGTGTCACGTCTGCACCCACTGCAGTTTCCGGTTATGACGTCATTAACATGGCGGAAAGGGCTACATTAAAAATAACGATATTTTACATACCATGTATCGGATCGGAATAAACTTTTTTTTGTTTGAAAGATAAGTTTACATGCTATCTTTCTTACATTTGCACTTTTGTTTTATGTTTAGTACATTTTTCGTAATTTTGCAAAAACCTATATTTTTAAACATTTTTGTGTTATTTTTGTCGATAACGTTTTATTGATACAATATATCAGAAATAACTTCAAGGCAAAGTTGTAGCACGTTAAAAGAGCTTTACAAAAATACCAAATTCGATATGCTTTACTCAAAAGATCGCGTCAATAAACTAGAAAATCGTACAAAACAACCTAATTTTGCGCAAAAACGCATATAAATCCGACATCGATGGCTGTGTACGAGTCATATATAGACAGTTTTACCATTCAATGTTGATGTATGTGTATAAAGAAGTGTTTTTAACTCGGGTGTCACGTCTGGACCCACTGCAGTTTCCGGTTATGATGTCTTTAAAATTGCTACATGTTACGATTTCACCAGCTATTTTACTTAAAATAAGACCATTACCCTCTTTTATGCAAATAAAAGCACAACAAATCAATGTAATTAGTCCATAGGAATGTTTCCACTATATAAATACCCCCGGTGCAGCAATCCTGTCGACTAAGCGAATTTCCATTTGCCTGGATTGATTTTCAATTAATCTATTAAATTAACATTAAATTAACAACTCAAACAATGTTAATTTAATAGATTAATTTAAAATTTAATAGATTAATTGAAAATCAATCCAGGCAAATGGAAATTCGCTTAGTCGACAGGATTGCTGCACCGGGGGTATTTATATAGTGGAAACATTCCTATGGACTAATTACATTGATTTGTTGTGCTTTTATTTGCATAAAAGAGGGTAATGGTCTTATTTTAAGTAAAATAGCTGGTGAAATCGTAACATGTAGCAATTTTAAAGACATCATAACCGGAAACTGCAGTGGGTCCAGACGTGACACCCGAGTTAAAAACACTTCTTTAGACACATACATCAACATTGAATGGTAAAACTGTCTATATATGACTCGTACACAGCCATCGATGTCGGATTTATATGCGTTTTTGCGCAAAATTAGGTTGTTTTGTACGATTTTCTAGTTTCTTTACGTGATATTTTGAGTAAAGCATATCGAATTTGGTATTTTTGTAAAGCTCTTTTAACGTGCTACAACTTTGTCTTTAAGTTATTTCTGATATATCGTATCAATAAAACGTTATCGACAAAAATAACACAAAAATGTTTAAAAATATAGGTTTTTGCAAAATTACGAAAAATGTACTAAACATAAAACAAAAGTGCAAATGTAAGAAAGATAGCATGTAAACTTATCTTTCAAACAAAAAAAGTTTATTCCGATCCGATACATGGTATGTAAAATATCGTTATTTTTAATGTAGCCCTTTCCGCCATGTTAATGACGTCATAACCGGAAACTGCAGTGGGTGCAGACGTGACACCCAAGTTGAAAACACTTATTTAGACCAACGACAAATACATCAACATCGAATGGCGAAACTGTCTTTATAAGACTTGCGAACTGCCCTAGATCACAGAAAACGTACTACTATAACCCAGAATGCCAACCGCATGGTAAAAAGCATTAAGCGGTTTGAGAGAGCTTTGCCTGTCAATCCGTAGGCAGCGCCACCAGCGTTGCCATGCAATAGCATAGCAACGCTGGTGGCGCTGCCTACGGATTGACAGGCAAAGCTCTCTCAAACCGCTTAATGCTTTTTACCATGCGGTTGGCATTCTGGGTTATAGTAGTACGTTTTCTGTGCCTAGATGCCGGACTAATAGGCGTTTTTGCGCCAAAATTGGTGTTTTTATGAGATTTATCTAGTTTCTTGACGTAATCTTTTGAGTAAAACATATCGAATTTGGTATTTTTGTAAAGATTTTTAAACGTTCTACAACTTTTTTCATTGGTGGTTTTTGATAAATTGTATCAATAAAACGTTACAAACAAAAATAACTCAAAAATATTTAAAAATACAGGTTTTTGCAAAATTACGAAGAATGTACTAAACATACAACAAATGTGTAAATGTAAAACAGGCAGCATTTAAAATTATCTTTCAAACAAAAAAAATTCATTCCGATCCGACAAATAGTTTGCGAAATATACGATTTAAAAAAATCAATGGCCGCCATTTTGATGACGTCATAGCTCGAAAACGTACCAGGTGCGAACTTGACACCCGAGTGGAAAACACTTCCTAAGACACCTATATTGAAATGCAAAAGCAAAATTCTCTATACACGACATGCACACAGAACCCTAGTCAGGTCCTGGACTATATACGTAACGACGTTAACCTAACAAATTGATTTACGGGGAGGAGGGGGTTAGTTTGAAATTTTGTTAAACATGTTTCCAATTAATAATGCAGATTCGATTTCACTAGTGTATATTACCTGTCCTATAAATTGTTGATTTTGGTGTGCAAAATGTGGGTTTTAGAATGGTGTGGTCTATTTTTTGTTCTTCCTTCTCTTCCTGTCGCATTAGGTTTGTGTTGGAGTGCTGGTGTGTGTGATTTTATAGATTTTTATTCCTAACAAAGAAAATAACACATAATATGAACAGTTTTGCTAAGCTAGAATAGTTTTGGCTCTTAGAAAGTTAGATGTTCCTAATACAAAATTTAGACTAAAAATGCTTTTTGTATGTAATTTTGAATTATTACTTTGGATAGAATAGTGACCAAGCAAAACCGATTGCATTTAAAACTTATACAGTATATTCGCTTTAATAAGCGCAACAAGGAATACCTTAGATTTTTTTTAATTAAAAACATATTCGTCTTTAGACTAATTTGAAGCTTGACTTAGTGCCAGGTTTTGCAGACCATGCTTCTTAATAGCTTAGAGGTCTGGAAAAGCATAATTTGGATGTTAATTGAGCCATTGTTAACAAATTAATTTAATCTTGTATTTTTGCTTTACTAGTTATGCGAGTGTTGTACTTCCATCATATAAGCTGTATTATGTTTTGTGTAATGCAACAGAACCTCGATAACAAGACTCTCATGGGGATTATTAAACAAGACGTGTTATCAAGGGTGGCTTGTTATCGAGGTTCCACTGTACAAAATATCCATTTTCAAGAAAGTAGGTGTTAATAAATCCTTATTAACCCTTTTACAAAATACTTTCAAATAATTGTCAATTGAAATACACCTATTATTTGTTCCATTAGAAACATCCGAAAAATGTACATTACTTCTGTAATTTAAATTATGCTCTCCTCAATTGTTTATTATTAGAAACTATTGATTTCCTCAGATTGGATGTACACCGCTCGCAGCGCCGCTTGTGCTATGTTTGGTACTAACATTTCTGTATATTTAACAGGTGGCCTCGTGGTACCGGGTATGTAATTTAGGCTTTACCCTCACTTTCATGTATGTTTGTTACCACCATGCACGTGTGCTGCAGTATTGCTTTTGACACTACTCTGTATTCACTAAATTTCTTTGTTTTTCTTCTTCATGTTCTATCCTAGTGTCGTTTAAGTGTGTATTTAATTAGTATGTGTTTGTAACAAATGTAACTTGTAGTTTTGTGCTATCAGTGAGGTTTTCTATTGGGCTCTGGGAAAGTAGGGTCCTAACATCTACCTCTAGACATCCCATCCCCATGTTAAAGTTGTCGCCAGTTTTTAAATTAAATTCGTCATGGTTGATGTGAGCCACTGATAGATTGCGCTGATCTAAATTACTAATTCCTGTCGAATACACAATGTTTTTTTACCAATTAAAACTGATGGATTGACTTATTGAGCCATAGCAACTATTATGTCCCATCAACTATGTCAGCAACAATAAATAAGATACAAATATAATTTGAGACACTAGCGCATTCTGGGATTGGGTCACGCAACTACAGTCTTTTTTTAGTAAAAAAAAGTGGCGACAGTTGGTCCTTAAAGATGATATGGGATGTCTACTTCTGTATCCAATAGTCAATGCTCTGCTCTAATACAAGGCCGCGGTGAGACAAAAGTGGCAACGTCGCATCCCCGGCCGAAACAGTCGTTGTTGCAATTTACAATAGAGCTTCCTCGTGATGTTTATGTTCACACGTCTGCTAGGGGCGCTAGGGCCTACCATCGATGTGTATAATCTCGAAGGGCCCCACTGTTATTGCCATGGCAATAGGCCGGCCGGTGCGACGTTGCCGTTGCCATCGTTGCCATACATCAACGCCACGGCCTTGTATTAGAGGAGGCTATGGTTCTAACCTACCTAATTTATACCGTAATTTATACACCCCAAATAGAAAATTACGTTTAAATGTTGTACGATGATTCCAATTATTCATGAAATCAAATAATAATAGAATGATTTATTCTGTTCAGCCACCTTTAACAGTGGAGTACACACTATATCAAACGTATTTCCATTATTATGGAAAGTCAGGGAAAGTTTTATAAAAAGGTCAAAGTCAGGGGAAATTTTTAAAAATAATGTTAAGTCAGGGAAATGTACTAAACACTTTTAAAGATTGCATTAATTTGTTGGATGATTTTGCGTGCTCAGGTGGTGGTAGAGTCAATGGTGGTAGGTACGCTTAAAAACTTATATATTTATACACCTAATGAAAAACCAAAAACATTGTTTATTCACTGGTAATGAAGTAAGACAAATATTCTATTTTTGTTTTTGGTAATACATTTGTTATTATTTATCGTAAAGAACAAATTACCATTTAAAATAATAGTGGTTTTAAATAATAGTTGTTAGCACAGCAACGTGCGCCAGGTTAATTGCTAGTAACAAATACATTACAATTAATATTTGCAGACATATTTCATAGCCTCAGGTTTAGGTTTAAGTAAAATATTTATTAAGAATACGTCACATATTATGAGCACGACCGTATTTTTTGCTTTTTATTTTGCATACAGTGGTTTTAAATATAGAGTAAACGTTTTTATAAATTCACCTTGAATAGTTTTACCGAGAACCCACAAGGAAACAGACGCTCGGCTTTAGGGAGAAGAATAAATAGAAAGCTTTTGTCGGTTTCTCATGACGTGAATGAAAATGTATTTCGCCCCTTTTTATAAAGGAACGTTGCGTAAAAGCTATGTTAATATTTAAACCTCTTTTAACATCCCTGTTTGGAATACCAACCCGTATATGGCTTTTAAAATTATGTCAGCCTTGACTTAGCATTTAGATTAAAATCAAAGTGTGTTAACTTTCGTGAAATATTTGTTATATTGTATAAGCCTCACATGACAGTTAATGGATACCGATCTGCAAACACATTTTAGTCTTAAAAATACTCTAAATCGCATTACAAATAAACTGTATCTCATGCAAACGCATTTTTTTAGTTTTAGTCAATATTTTATCTTGCTTAAAAAACATTTCTAATGCTACATATATTGGGTTTTGGTGATTTTGGGGGAGGGGGGATTTTAGCTGAGTAACCGGATAGTTATAACATAAATAACATAAGTTTGATGAACACTCTCTGATCCTTAAGATGGTAAAAAGTCGGTTTTCACCCTCGTTTATTTTTAGCGAATTTCCCATATTCGCTTAGTCTGCAGGTTTGCCGCGGTGGGGCATATAGTTGAACTAATTTTTAAAAGATTCGCTTCAGTCCCTAGTGATGATTATACTGTTATACTCACAATTACTGTACCTTTGTTTTCTTTCCCCAGTATTTAGGTTCAATGTCACCTCCACTGACATGTTGTAATATACAGGGCGGGATATTGTTGTGACTACCCTTGTACCAATAACGGCTGTCATTAACCGATATATTGTTTCCTCCCCCGCGCTACTCTCTGTGTGTGTGTACATACCGGGTGGTAGGCCTGCATGTAGACGTGTACCGGATGACAATATCCAGTTTCACATTTCGGTGGCTTCACAAGGGGCTGCGACTACAAAACTGTTGTTTCCACGTTGTAAAGCATATTCATTGCCATAGCAATACAATTTGCAATGAATTGTACAATAACTGCACACCCGCAACGTAATTGTTGCTGTATTTGGACTTATTTTATCCGTTTGCACAATTTTCTCAAACTTTTCAAAGTCTTTTGAAGCAAAATAGGTACGGATTAAAGGTCCACAGTTTGTTTTATGGGGTGTGTCAGACGTATAGCCATTATGGTTTACTATAGTATGATATTTTAGTAGAAATCCGAGGTAAATGGAAGCTTGCATAGTCTGCATGTTTGCTGCGGAGGGGTATTTTAAATTATTATTTAAATCTACAGCATAGCCGCTTTTTAGATGATAACAGTTAAAGTTATCGGTATTGTTATTTGTATAGAACCATCACACCAAGGTCCGACCAAGGTCACATCCAGGCACTTGTCCGAATGGCATAACTCCAAGTGCCAATGCTCCGAAAACACATTTTCGGAGACCCTTTAGAGAGAGACAAACGTAAATAAACTCAGATCCCGTTGAAAAATACCCTATTTGTTCGGACGCTACCATCTTGCATATCTCATACCTCATAATCACCATGAAAAGAAATAATTGCATCTGACCAATACGAAGGAGACGTGTTTATGAGGTGATCTAAATCTCTCGTTCACCGCAAATTCTGTGCAGATTCCTCAGTTTTTCCACTGTGACCACAGCTATGTGTGGTGGCGGTATCGGATTATTCAAGGTCCTAGTGGCCTTCGTATCGACTTACGCCCACTGTCCATTCATCCACATTCTCGTAACACGCTAGACACACGGCGTAGTCTCGTGTTAGATGTCCCACCACAAAAACACATCCTAGGACATAGCTTGGAACCGTAACTCATTATTTCAGGCCTAAGATAGATGTTGCGATATCATATAGATAAGTTCCATTGGAGACTGGCGGGATTTGGTCCCGGAACCTCGGGGAACAAAGTCCCGCGTTCTACCTCTTGATCAGAGTGATATCGGATATCTAAGGGAAAAAGCTAAGTCAGTTATCTCTACTTCGTAGCGTTTAAGTATCTTCGGCCACAGCAAACCTGCAGACTGTAAAGTGGTTCAATTAAAAACAAATAACATTGTAAGTTGCAAATCGAAAATTCAAGTATCGTAAATCGGCCAAGTTTAAATCTGGGGTTTATGTATATATAAGTCATATGTCATATACATTACCACAAAGTATGTATAGTATAACAATAATCGTCCACGCTCGTGAGCCCGCTCCCCTCACACAGCCGCCTGCGTGCTCGCTTCACTGGCTTCTCCTTTATGAAGCATGAATGTTACTTATCAGCTAAATTGCCTATAACGGAACTCGCTGATGGTTATTTGAACAATTTAATAGCAATATTTAACGTTACAGTTATTTGTAATAGCCTCGATTTTAGTTGGGCAAGTAGGTACTTTATACTATGGAATTTAATTGTTATTTAGTGTAATAAAAATTATGTTCAATAGCTATTTAAGTATTTAGAGCGCAATGACTGTTTGCGCTCATAATACACACAAGATTTTACCTACCGCCATAATTAACCTATAATAACACACAGATTAACTTTTTAGATGTATATAAAATGCCATTTAGGTTATGTTTCCTTTTTTAAACATTTTACTTGCAACTTGCGGTTTTAAATCTCATTTCTCTTAGCATAATCGTATTAGGGGACTGTGAAGTTCCGTATTTACAGTATAAGAAAAAATTTACGAGTAGAGACATTTTCACTATTTTTACATTATATTCACAAACACGAGTAGGCCTCCATTTGCGTACTCTAATTAATGAGACTTTACTTTTCTAATGACGATTTACCATATTCTCAACTACTAGTGTTTTCACGTCAAAGGTGCGTTGATGACCTTTAAATGTCGGAACTTAATTAAGAGCGTAACGATCCGCCCTCAACCCCTTATTGTGATCTTCAGCGTTCTCCATGCATAAAACTGTGTTAACCGTAAAATTGTATTATGCAGCTTTAATACTTAACGTAATTATATCCTGATTAATTTATCTTCCATGTTATATTTTTTTTGTCTGGTGTGTATGATAAACGTGTTCACAAAATTGTATTGCTGCTGAATTGGAATTTTCTAACGTCAAAATCATCAATCGAAATTAAAATACAAATAATATGCCTAACTGTGGTTACAGCATCCAACATACATTTTTACGGAATATATTTCTTAAATACCGTATTCATCACAAATATTTCATGTTAATAATTAATTATATATTTAATTGAAATTTAATTTTCTTGACCTTGCGACCTTTTTTTGTTCGGTACGATGGGAGTTCCCAAAACCCTATAGAAAACGATTAAATCTTTTAAGAATCTTCTTCATATTTATTTTCACCCATAGAAATTATGGAGTGTTTTAAACGAGTTCAATATTTCAATAATCAATATCCAATAGGTCAATATTTTTTTT